CCCGGGGTGATCTGGTGCAGCTCCTGGAGACAGCCCTATGGGGATTCATGCGGCTCTGTAAAGAGCATACATTGCTTCCTCACACTACCAGCTTGCTTTGTCTGGAAGCAGTTAGGGGCCTGAAGTTTCTGTAGAAGTTCATAAACACGTTTTGAAAGGGGTAGAAACTCCCATGTGTCTCACTACAGTGGACCAGAGCTCTGATGATGAATACGTTTCGGACGGGAGTGACTCTTGAAATAGCCTGCTTATTCAACAGCGCTGCATAAGTATCTAGCACGCATTTAAACAGATCCTAGCCAGCATTACATGCCGGACTTCAACCTTTCCAAAGGGTTTTTCCTTAGGGTGTTTCCCTTCTCAGCCCAGGGAAGTTCCAATGTTCCAGCCATTCAGGCCAAGTGCCTTGTTTGTGCTGGTTGGTTCTATTTGTCCATTTGACACAACCAAGAGTCACCTTGAAAGGAGGAACTTTAGTTGAGGAATTCCCAGATCACAGTGGTCTGGGATGGTGTCTGTGAGGGTTTGTCTTGGTTGATGATAGATGTGGGAGGGCCCAGCCTACTATGAGCCTACGCTATGGAAGGAAGTTAACTGAGCATGAGCCGGCGAGCAACTGTTTCTGCTTCAGCTACTGCTCAAGATTCTGTTCTCATTTCCTTCAGCGATGAACTGTGACCTGGAAGTGTAAGCCAAATAAATCCTTTCCTCCCCAGGTTAACTTTTGGTCCGTGTTTTACCACTGCCACAGAAAAGTGAGTAGAACTGTGGAGGGCCCCAAAACAGCTTGACCACACAGCGGCCATGACAGGCTTAGAGGCCCAGACACAGCTTCTGGCCGGCAACACCTGGACCCAGGAAGAGCCATAAGCTGACCCCACCCAGTGGGGCTTGCATCTAAGAGGAAATAACTGATATTCCAAACATTTCCCCATACCCTTAGACAAATGTCAGCCAATCAGGGTCCCGAACCCTGGAGATTCCCTCATCATGATTAAAAAACAACAACAACAACAACAACAACAAAAAAAAAAACAAAACAAAAAAACACCCTACCTGGGCTCTGTGCTCTCTGTCCTCACCGCTGCATCGGACAGGCAGAGAGACCAAGGACAGAGCTTGAAGATAATAAAGGCTCTTTGCTTTTACACGCGGGATTCAGTCTCCGTGGTGGTCTTTTGGGGGGTCCCCGCGATCTGGGCATAACAGAACATGGTTCTTTATTCCCCCTTGCTCTTATCCATCTATCCTAACTATCTATAGAACCTATTAATTTTACACTAAAAAAAATCCTACCATTCACTCCCTTCTCACTAGCACTAATATTATCATCATTGAAGGTCATGCTGCCGCACAACTGTATCATGAGAAATATCTTTTTACCTGGTCAGCATCACTCCCTTTATTCTCAGCATAGTGACCACGGGTCTCAGCTTCGGACCATCTTTCCCACGTCCCCTTCAGATGTCTCTTTCTGATGACTGTCACACCGCTTCGCCAAATCCCCTGATATTTCCCACTGGCCAGAGTAAAAGCCGAAGTTCTTGGTGTCGCGAAAGGCTCACAGATGATTCTCATCCTCCCGTTTCACCTGCTGATGCGAAGCGCCTTCCTTGCATGGCGCTTTGGCAACACAGGTCTTTGTGATTACCGCTCAAAAACACCACACTCCGCGTGGCTCAGGGGGTAGCGCACCTGCTGTTACAAACACAAAAGCGTGAGTTCAAACCCCCAGCACTCATAAAACAGCTAGTGTTGCAGTCTTTGCTTATAACTCCAGCTCTGGGGAGGAGGGGATCAAGGAGAAGGAGGGGAGATCCTTGAGGCTCACTGGCCAGTCAGCTCTAGCCAAAGAGGCAAACGCTAGGTTCAGTGATGGAAAGACCATATCTTAAAATTTAACTTGGAAAGTCATAGAGGATGACTCCCAAAGTTAATCTCGGGCTTCCGTGTGCTCAGACATGGGAGAACAGACCTGTGCACATACATGTATGTATATAATACACACAGACACACAAAATAACATGTCACACTCACCCCCACACCCACATACCCAGGGTCTTATTTGTATCAGCTCCCTTGCCTTGACTGTTCATTCTCTAAAAAGCCCTTACTTCTTTCACGTCTTTGCTACATGTTACCTGTTTGCTGTAGTCGTCCCTAGTCACTCTGCTGAAGAGTGCACACATGTGCACACACACACACACACACACACACACACACACACACACACCTTTTTATGCTCTCACCATCTGGCATGTCATGTGTCTTTGCTCCCTTGTCTTCTTCTAGAATACAGGCTTTCTCAGAACAGGGATTCTCACTGTACTTTTTTCCCCACCTGCTGTTTTTCCAGTGACTAGAATAGTTCATGGGAATAAGAGTTTCCTAATAAATATTCAATGAATAAATGAGGTAGAAATGCCATTATTTAGATTCTTTTATTTCCTGAGTTAAAATCTGTAAGGAAAAAAAAAATATGCATCCAATCATGCATGTGTTTATACAATCTTCAGAAGTAGAGCAGCCAAAATAAAAATGTTTAGTTCTTACATTCTTTGGACATGACCCATAATTTCTGGTTTATCAAAACCAAGGCCCTTTGCTCAGTCCCAAGCTTGTGGAATGTCTATAGATGAATAAAGAAAAGTTTGTTCTTTGAATTATGCCACCAGGGGCTCAAGCTGATATTTCAGCGGCTGCCCGCTTGAGTCAGCTCAATACAGGATTCTCATGCATCTTAAGAAGGTCCTTCATAGGCTACTGTGGATCTGGGCATGGCTCTTGATCTGTCTTTACTCTGTGAACTCAGCAGAATCCCTCACATTTGTTTTAACATCTTCCCGTAAGATGTTACAACTCTTGGGCCTATATTATCTTAACGCACCTTACATCTTCTGAAGATGAAAAAATAAAGTGGTGTAAGAAATAATATAAAACGGTGTAAGAGCCTATTGCCTTAACCTGAATGATTATTAAATAAGACCAACAATGGACAACATAATCAAGTTTCTATTAGGCGTTGATGTGTTAGTGAGGACAAGGGTCCACTCTTCCGACAAACTCCATGAAAAGTTGCATTCCGTCAAGAAATGAGCTGTTGTCAGATCTTGTACTCACCTGTAGAGCTGGCATTTAGTCATCCTGTGGAGTTTGCTTTTCAAACGGGCTTTTCTTGAAAACCCTGAGGCTCAATTTACCCCACGCTCTCGCTGCATAGTGACTGTGGATGGTCCTACTATACCTGACCACAGAGCAGGCAGTGGGGGATCCGAACCTCCCCACTGTCCATCAAGGAAACTAAAGCAGAAAGGTGACAAACCCAAAGGTGCAGGACCTAGTTTTTGGCCCAAGTCACCCAGCGTTAGAGTTCTGGTTCTTGATGATTGCAGGATGAGAGGAAGGGGAAAGAGAGGAGGAAGAGATAGTATGCAAATGGAACTAAATAATCCAGGTATTTGTAAACTTCTAATTAAAGGCAGAGCATTCAGCAGGAGACACAAGATAGTGAAATTTAATTATATAATGAGATCTACCACTTGCACAGTCAAAAGCACTGTTGTGACCAGAATTCACAGGAGAAATAACTCTACATCCCAGGGGTTCTCAACCTTCCTAATGCTGCGACCCTGTAATACGGTTCTTCACGTTGTAGTGACTCCCCCACACCATAAAATTATTTTCGTTGCTACTGTCTAACTGAAGTTTTGCTACTGTTATAAATCGTCATGTAAACATCTGTGTTTTCTCATGTGACCTTAGGTGACCCCCCCAAGGGGGTTGTGACCCACAGGTTGAGAAACAGTGCTATATACTATAATTCTAGTTATTCTGAAGGCTGGAACAAGAGCAGCACGAGCTTAAGGCCTGCTTGGCCACAGAGAACTTCCCAGGGCAGCCGAAGCAGCCCGTGATCTTGCCTCATAACACAATTTTTAAAATGTAAAGGACTGGCACTGCATCTCAGTGGTAGAACAGTTGCCAGCAACCCACAAAGGCATTGGCCCAGTCTCCAGTAACAAGACTTGAACATTTTCAAAAGCACCATTGTAAATTTGATGATAATATCTAAACAGGGAAATCGATCCAAAAATGCAAAGCTCTAACCCCAAGTAAATAAATAAATTCCTATGAAAATGACTTTTTCCCTACCATCTCAGAGGTGATGAGTTTACCATGTAATATTAGGGGGAAAAAATGGCATAAGGGCCCAGCAGGTACCATGTCCTGGGATGCCTTTATGACATCCAGTTCAGCGGCTCTAATGAGACCACAGGACACAGAAAGAGGATGGATGTGGTTGCTGTCCACGTACTTTGTCACCCTGATGGCAGTGTGTTGCAGGACAGCTGTTGTTTAGACAGGAAAGGCTCAGGGCTCACAGAGAACATGGCTTCACCTGGTCATGGATTCTAGTCACATGTGAAGTTGGCTCTGCCACACATCTGTGTAAACACAGTCTCCCCGCATGTCGTTATAAATGTGGTGGATTTTTTTTTTTTTTTTGCTTTCTCACTAGGTATTTTGCTCTAAGTGAGCCATATAAATGTATTGCAATTAAATTGGAAAAAAAAATAAAACCTCCCTGAAGTACTTCTTCTTCTCATGCTTAAAACATAGGTTAGCAACGTTTTGAAAATTCATAGCCTTCTGTTCTCTTTTTCCTCAAAGCACGAAGGGGCAGCATTGTGATTATACTTAGGGTTCATTCCAGATTACTGAAGTTGAAAGCACGCCTCGAGAATCAGAGGAAATTGTGCTCTAATATGCAAAGCCGGCCCTGTTACTCCTGTATTTCAATGTTTCCATGGCTTCGTATTGCTCTCAGGATAAAGTCCAAATTCCTTACCATATGTTAGCAGTAGAGAGGAGCCACGTTGTACCAGATCTTGAAGTGGGCTGGCCCTTCACTGGAATGCCTTCTGTGTGCTTTCCCATACCTTCTTCTGGTTTCTTTCTTTTTTCCTTCAGGTCTTAACCTGGGGCTCTCTGTTTTCCAGCACTCTCCCTGCTGAGACCATCCACACGTTGCAATGGACAGCGTTTTCCAGAGAACCAGAATCCACGGGACATTTGTTAAGCCACATCAAATGAGATTCCTTGTGGAGGATTTACTCTTGTGATCAAGAAACTAAGGAGCCTGGTGACTTGCTGTCTGCCCGTGAGGTGGGGGATGCTTGTACAGTTCCAGTGAGATAAAAGAGGCCTGAGAACTAGCCGGCAGAAGGGAGGCTGATAGTGCCATTCCTTGTCCTGGGTCAGAGACCTATAAACCAGAAGAACCAATGTGTGAAATCCAGAGATGGCAGATGTCATGACTCAAGTAGAAAGAAAAAAAACATCTTTCTCTGCACTTTTTTTTTCTGACTCTTTTCCTTAGAAGGAAGACTGGTGCCCATGGCCCATGCACACTGGTGAGAGGCACTTTTCCTCAGTCTGCTGACCCTAGAAAAACACCCTCGCTAACAAACACATGATGTTTTACTGACGAGCCAGGCATCCCTTGGCTCAGTCAGGTAAATTAAGATTAACACTGTAAATTCATCCCTTGTCAACTTGGCACCCAGGTTTATGCACTTAATTATGTTTCATCTCCAGATAAAGACCAAAACAAGATCGGAGTGTTATCTACCATCATACTTGACTTCACATAACCAAAAATTCATTAATCCATTCCCCAGGAAAGACAGGGAAATCCTAGAGCCTGTTGATTCTACCCTGAGAATCAAGAACAAAAACAGTCTGGTCACAAATAAGCAAGCAAGCAAACAAACAAACACCTACTCTGTTTCTAAATGAGCAATATTCAAATGTTTATATAAGGTCAAGGCATCTGAAGTCACACAACAAGGGGCCATGAGGAAAAAGGAAACAAAGTTATTTGTTATGAATCTATACTCACAAACATACTCAAAATAAAATAAGGAGGAAGTATGTGTGACAATTATAGCCCTTGTTTTTGTAGTTGGTTACATGGTAATTAGCTGGCATTTATAGTGATCTTTTACTACACATTCTGCATTCTCTTTGCCTTCATGAGAACTCCAGCTGGACTTCATTGTTTACCTGGTGACTGTGACCATATCTTCATTTCTGAAGGGTCTGGGCCACTTGTAGGTCTATCTGCATTGGACTGCAGTTTTCTAATGGTCTCACAGTGGAGGGTGCTAGGAAGAGGTCTCAGAAGGTGTTACCTGTATTCCAGACAGAAATCCACTGTGGGATTCTAGTCAGGTCAGGTCAGTCACCACAGTAAGCATCATAATTCCCTTCTTGGCCTATTGACTCAAGGGAATGAAGAGTTCCAAGAGGCTGGGTGACAGCCACCCCACCAATTCAGTGGGATCACTGATGTGCTTCCTATGGGGAGCAGTATCTGCTCCAGGAATGGAGACCTTTGGTCTAACAGAGTGTAAATAGGAATATGAAAAAAATATGAATATTTTTGCTAGTCAGTTAATGGGGGTAAAAGGTAGTCACATTGTCATCGCCCAGCCTTAATCCCTGACCTGTGAGTCCTGGCTATCAGAGATACTGCAGCGTGCCGTGGATACTGATCCAGAACATAGTCTAGAGAAGCTTACCCCAGCCCAGGAAGATATTAGAAACTCACTGGGTCTGAGTCTTTCCCATTCTGTTGGGTTAGTTGCTCTATTGGGTAAGACCAGTGAATTCCATGAGCATGAGTCCTTTGCCATGAAACAAGTTCCAGAGGTAACGTGACTTGGAATGCTATGCTACTGCATTAGGCATTCTGTCAGTCTACTGTGAACAGATTTTTCAAAAGCATTACCAGTGAAGAAATACATTTCTATGTAGCCTATATACAGCATGGACAGGAGGGGAGGGAGAAGGGCAAGGGTAAGCATTGTAGGGACCAGGCTACTTTACACAATTCTCTTGCATCTTTAAGAGTTGCTCAGCCCTGATAACACACACAATGTGATAATGGACTATTGCTCTACATCAAATTTTAAGGTTGGATGGCTTGGATAATACGAAATTCCTCGTAGGCAGTTTAAGCAACACATTAACCTAGTAGCCTGTGGTCATGAACAGACTCTACTAAAGGTCCATAGCAGAAAGAAAACTATTTCTCAAATGCCCCGTAGCAGGATGAAAACTATTTCTCAAAAGAGTAGTTATCTATGGGTGATGACAAGCACCTTGCTTTAAAATCCTAAAGACCTCAACTGAATCGCCTATAGAGATTTTCCAGGAGTTCCAAACAGTGTCCTTCTCTGCCACTGACACTTCAAATACCACTAATTTGGTAACCACCAAATGGCAAAGGAGCTTACCCAGCAGTCAGGACCTATTGCAGAGCCTTCTTGTATTTGGGGCTCCAATCAAACCAGTAGTAAATGAGCCCAAACGACCCACCCCAATGAGGAATACATTGCTTCAAAATTTTAAACATGTCTGCTTGGCATTGTATGTATGTCCAGGTGTAGGGGAAACCATATACAACAGATTAACCATCTCCTTAGAAGAGATCTGTCCAAGCCCCATGCCACTGGGCCCCGAGACATTTCACTCAAGGAAAAGGTTGCTATATTTTAATTGTCACTGGGGCTAAGGGAACCACTTACACTGGTAGAGAAGATTCATCAGAATTGAGAGTTTCAGTGTCCCCAATTCTATCAAGTGCCTTCCCGAAGACTACCTTCCCTAATCATTGGCCATTTGATGGTAGATAGCCTGTAAGGCTGGGAGCTTAATTTCTCTCGTACTTCATCTGGTTGTCCAATGAGGTTCTGCATTCGATTTTCAGAAACTTCATCCTTTCAGCTACAGAAGGTAAGGAATTCATAGGGGCACACACAGAATCTTAGGTCATTCATGGGTCACAAGAGTGGGAATTTGAATCCTGGACATTATTATATTTGTTTGGTGTTTCCCCCACACAACTTTGAATAGCAATTGCCATTAAATTTCTTGATTTTTCCAAGACATGATTGAAAGCATCATACTCGGAACCACCTAACCTCTTGCCCCTGTAAAAGACTGGTGAGGAGTAGCCAGTACAAATATTTTGTCTTTCTCTGAACAGTCATGCCAATGAGCATGCGTGTTCTCTTCACTACTGGAGAGGGTCATGGGAGTCTTCGATTTGAATAAAATGGAAGTCAGTTCTAGAAACCACAAAACAAACACAGAAAACTCCTCCTTAAAATTATGTCCTTCTACTGTGCCCAAATCTGTATTAGTTACTATTTATTTATCCATAGTCTCCAGAACAAAAGATTAGATACACAGATTGACAGACAGATAGAAGATAGGTAAATAGATAGATAGATCAATGATAGATAGATGGTAGATAGATAGATGATAGGTAGGTAGATAGGTAGGTAGGTAAGTAAGTAGATAGATAGATAGATAGATAGATAGATGATAGATAGATAGATAGATAGATAGATAGATAGATAGATAGATAGATAGATAGTGTTAGCATGTAGGCAGGACTGGCCTGCTCTTAGGGTCCTGACGGGATATATCCTCAGCTACAGTCACTAAGAGCACCCCTGTGTGCATTTGCTACATTTCCTTATAAAAGGCGGGCCTTGCCCATCTTCCATCTGTTTCCTTTTCTCTTCCTTCACTCTTATCCCTAGGGACCGGTCTCTACCCCTTCTCTCCTCTCCCCTCAATAAACCTCCCACGTGGGCCCTGCTGTATGTTGTGACTCCTTCCCGCCTTTCTAAAAATACAGCATTTCGTGCTGTGACTCTGATAGGCTCTCCCGGCAGTCTGAGATGTGCCAGACCCTGGGACCTGGTCTGCCCTCGACAGCCGTGCTTTCTCACCCGATGGATCGCTGGGACTCTCCGTCCAACACGGACGATTGGTAAGCCACCTCTCCCCTTCCCCACCTCCAGCCATTCCCCACGAGCGAGGCTTCATTTATTTCTCAAGCACAGTCCTCGTCTTCTGGCTTTTCTCCAAAGTCCTGGTACCAGGTGACTGAGTCTCACGGGGGCTCTTAGCCCATCCGCCCCTGCTGTTCTGGATGACAATCCACTCAGCAGCCTGTACCTCCTCTTTGGTCCTCGCTGAATTTCTGGGACACTAGAGATTCCAGCCCTTGGATCTTCTCTGTCTCACTCATAGAAAATGCGCCTACCACCCATCTTAAGGGCTAAATGTATCTGCCTTTGCCCCAATACCCCTTAGATATCAATCCAAAAGGTCGCTTCCTGGCATACCATATCCCGGTATTTCACGGGACCTTTGCAACTTCCGCCAGCGATCCAATAGACGGAAGAGGGTGCCCTGTTTTCAAGCTTTTTCCAGGCCCTTCTCTCTGTTCTTTCTTCCTGCTCTACCCAGCTCCTGCTGGCTCCGAAGCCTGCAGCTGGGCCTCTCTGTTAAGCTGCATCTCCCCTTGCCCATTCTCTGCCCAAGCAGTTACATGTGGTGGTAATCTAATTGTACTGAAATGTGATTTTGAATGTATGTTAATAAATAAAGTTGTCCGGGGGTCAGAGCTATTAGAGCCATAGCAAGAGTGTGGCGGTGGTGGCACACGCCTTTAATCCCATAGATCTCTGTGTGTTCAGGGATACAGCCA